AGTTTAGATTATGGCTCATATGACGCTTTATATCCCTTTCAACCGCGCAGGTGGAAACTCTCCAGCTTCTAGTGTGGCGCCGCGGCTTAGCCGTGGCCTTGGGGAGAAGCTGCCCCCCATTGGGGCCCCTTTAAAGGGAATGTAGGGATGATATGGGGGTATCTAGGGGTGATATAGGGATGATATAGGGGTATATAGGGATTATAACGGAAAGCAGGGTTACCAACAATTAGGATTTTCTTGGTATAAATGGGATGGCGATACATAGAAATCAGGGTTTACAACAACCTTGGGAGTGAAAGCAGGCTTTCGAAAGAGGGGCCACATCTATGGCAAGTACCGTTTTGATGGTATCAGGTATGACCGTAAGCATCAGGTAGTCATAGTGTCATAGCCATGAGGAAGACATTTGGAATAAGCATGAAACATGGTTCCCATTTCCAAAAAGGTTTTGCACTTAATGGTTTGCGGGCTTCGTGCACGACGCCCGCCGCATCTATCTGAGCAAGAGCCCGAACTTGACAAGTGGGGCTGCAGTGAAATGCTTTCTCGTGGCAAATAGAAAGGAACGGTGCGGGTCCCTACAGTAGCAACCGCATTCCCTTCCACGAGTCCTTACGACTGATTGCAAATCACCAAGAAAACTTTATAGCATTAAGGGCTTCACAGACACCCAGGGTTCGAAGCTTCTCACGTTCTCGATACCCCTAAACCCTGAACTGCGTCTTGTTTCTCTGGGGTTGCCGGGCTACAGAAGCGCCCATGTGAGCGCATTACATTGACATTGTCTAGATCTAGGACTCATGAATAGGGAGGCTGTGTTGAACATATAAGGGATTATAATCTGGGTAGGCCCCTGGGATATATTTCCCTGATGACTTTAATAGAGGACGCCGCGTACGAATATTCTTCAATTGGGTTTAGGGCTTAGGGGCCAACCCAGTAATTTCGTGTGGGTCTTTCGGGTGTACTCCAGGGTTGGCGGCAAGGTTCCAGCCTCTTCCTCTAGCAGTTTGGAACCATTCTGGCATGCAACTGTCTGTTCTCGATTGATTGGAGGATGTACCGTAATAATGGAACACAGGGAAACTGCATTGTAGGGGCTTTCTTGGTGGAAATCCGCATGCGTGTGAAGCGGTTCCAGGTTTGGCTTCTGGCTCACCCTCAGCTGCATGACGGGGATGCAGCTGGCGAGGAGGGTGCAGGCTCACATTGCTGGGTTGCTGTTAAGTAACTTGAACTAATTCACTATGATTTGGTGACGCTGTTATTATTTACTATATGCCCACAAAATGGCAATTTAACTTCAAAGTTCCTAAACAGCGACCTGGCTTCTTTGCAGAAAACGGAACAATGGGTTGATGAGCAAAGGCCGGGCATCTGGTTTGTTTCTCTAGTAGTACTACATAGGCATAGGTAGAGATATTTGTGCGGGGTGGGGCCTTCAGAAAGTCTGCCTCCATCTGACCGATGATACATGTTTGCGGTTGAGCCATTGGAGTAAAGATGCTCGTTTACGCTGCCCTTGCTCTGAGCCCACAAAAGGAAGATCCCAATCAGGAGCCGCAGAAGGTCGTATATGGTTAAACAAGACTATATAGGGGTATACAAGATTATTTGGGGTATTATGAAGTTACTATACAGGACGGCATGTTCCTGAGGACCGTGGTTCTGCTCAGAAGCAATCTTACCGGTTAATCACAAAGCAAGTACAAGGCCAGCTGTTTACCAAAGCTGATGACCATCACGGCCATCGATTCCGTTGCAAGCGAGAGCTCGCGCGAGTTGTGGTTGGAATTGGAAGATTGGACGAGCTGGGGGCAGGTAAGGTATGCGGCCTCAAAACAGTACAGAAGCCAGCGCGCAAAGATGACAGGATCCACATCTTTGGACTCTATACTCCCAGTGAGCTCCCGACAATGCCCCAAGTAACACTCTACAGCACCTTAATGATACAAACCTATGTGACCTCATATAACCCTATAGAAGCTTATATCCCCCTATATAGTCTTATTTCTTGCTATACTTGTATTTCCTTATATAACCCAACGCGATCTCCCAAGAGGAATTCTACGTTCCTTCAGGGCACCCCTGGGTCGTTGTTGCCAGGCAGTCCCAGCGACTCCGAAGCCAACTCATTCTGGGGGTGCCTCGTCGGTTTAAAGCTTCGATTTTAGGGTTTGTAGCTTGGGGTCTGCCGGGATATTGGGGCTATATAGGGACAACGGAAAATTAAATGGAAACTACTATAGTAAATCGGGCTTGTATGGGGATAGTGGAAAAGAAAATGGAAACTACGACAATGGTTATATAGGGTTTGGGGTTTAGGGTTTGGGATGTAGGGTTCAGAGTTGCGATTTGGGGGTATATGGGCTTTTCTGATAGACACCTGGAATCTCCGCGTGGGAAGCGATCTCAGCAGTCTTTGAGTTATCCATTCTCCCATCAAGACGTGTATCTGATATGCTTCAACCGAGCTAACAGCGCTTGTCCAGTTCTTTCTGAACAAAAGATGACCGTAGGAAGTCTAGCCCACTATGCAATCCTGACTGGTTGGCGTGCCGTGTTCCTCTATAACCCGGTGATGTTGTGTTTTTGTACCAGGAACCTCTGTGAGGAGTGGAGTTTGAATGACAAAAACACCTATGTGTTGTGGCTCTGCCACCCCTTATAACTGCTCGGCTGATGTGGGAGTTTCTCAGTATAATTCATCCGTACATAGTCACCAGCAAGGATACCCATGAACCCCAGGTCCTGGGCTTGCTAGGGCCACCCCTTTTTGAGAAACTCCCATGTTGTCCTAGGTGGGCCCTGTCTGAGCTGACGACTCTGGCTTGTGTCCCAGAGCTTGTGATGGTCCAGCTTTTTATGTGGAAGATACGCCTAGAGGCGTTACAAGGCTTCTGTTATGTTGGGATGTATATGGGTCAAGAAGGTTTTTTGGGGAGGTTTGCACACTACCGAGTTATACGAGGGAGTTGTCAAAGTTCTGGTCCCTTAGATGGGCAGCCTGGGGGCCGTGTTATCTGGGGCCCAAAAAACATCACAATGTATGTACATGCAGTACACGTATATCTGCATGTGTACATGTCTACACTGTAGTCTACACTATGTGTAAGAAAAGGCTGCAGGGACTAACAGTGTTCTTCTTGTTACAAGGTGCTCACATGAACTATAGTCTGAACTCCTTAAAGGGGGTTGTATAGGAGATTATATAGGAGACTACTCCAGAGGTTGTTGAGGGGGATACTAGGAGTGTAGACTATAGTTCACGTTGCGCGGAAGCTTTTCCAAGGTACGGCTCCTGCGTACTAATATAATAGCCTGAAGAATTACCCATGGGATGGTTCGAGATTGGTTGTACAATTATGAAAACCTCAAACCTCAGAAGGAATATTGGGTATCAATCAGGCCCCCATGGCCCCTCCATTATTCCATTTGCGATTCCTGGCCAGTTTTTGCAATTCTTGGAGCTCCAATGCAAATGTTTTAGGCTGCGGTCCCGCAGCCGGACTCCTTCTCAACGCTTCTTGCTTTTCTCAGGGAACTACTTGTAAGACTTAGATGCTCATGTTCCTCCCCCAGCTCAGATCCTAAAGCACATCTCCCCTCAACCCTTCTAACCTTCAAGTAGGGCTGAATCGGCAAGTAAGGTCATGATCGCCGTGATCCTCATTACGATCCCAATTGCCATTGTAATTCGTAAGCCTCCTCCTCACCCCCAAAATCCCGAAAGCCCTGTTCCCAATCCCTATACCTTGCAAGGCCATGACCCCGAAACCCATAATACCCCAATCCCACCAACCCTAAACATTTCTTGCGTTCCCGGAACCCCTCAGTTAAGGAAACTACCTTAAGTCATATAAGGCATCTAGATATAACCTGGGAATGTCCCTTAATTCAAGGGTCTTGGGAGCTCTGTGTTGCTCAGGCCCAAGAGATGGCAGGCAACCGAGGAGCTGGATCCATCCGGCTGCTGCTCTATGCCTACAGGAGCCATAATCTAAATTCCTTAAAGGCGAGATTCTATATGGGAGTTTCCCAAAATTAGGGGTACCTTTTTGGGGGTCCCAATAATAAGGACTCTAGTATTTTGGGGTCTATATTGGGGTCCCCTTTTTTTGGGAAATTACCATATGGGATTGTATAGGGGACTACTACAGTGGATATTATGGGGATACTTGGATTTTAGACTATGCCTACGCAAGCACAAGCGCGCAGCATGTCAGGGCGGGCTTTCTAGGAGTTAATGTGCAGTCTCGGATGCCACCTCGGGGCTGTAAGGGGGACTAGGAAGAGGTGGGAAGTTCTCAGAATCATCCCATCGTGGTCCTGAAACAGGGCCTTGGCCTATGTCCGCCTTACACATGCACCCTGGAAATCCACCAGGTCAACTTTGCGTTGAGAAGCTCCCGCATGGGGCGGATGCCCATGAACACGCCCAAGGATTTAGTTTTAAGGCTCGGCATTCCTTGAGTAAGGTTCGATCGGGTAGTTTCCAAAGGTGGAGGGGAACCCTGGCCCAAACTAGATCAATCAGAGGACGCTGCTGCGCAACCTCGCCCGGACCCAGAGTGCTGCAGAGTACATGCGCGCCCGGGTTCCCAGCAAACAGCCTTTGGAGATTCCATAGGGTGAAACGTGGATTCTGATATTCGAGGGGGCTTTAGACCGGTGTTGGTATGGGTTTGGACTGTCAGCCTGGAACCCACAAGGAGTTTCCGTCAATTTTCCGGTTGGATTGCCAATGTACTCGCAGGCAAGCATTTGGACTGCGCGTGGTGGCTTCTTCGCATGTTATTTGGGCTGAAATTGCTGGGTTGCTGTCGAGGAACTTGAATTAAGCTAGTATATTGAAAAGCCCCATTATTTACTATTCACCCATATTATGGTAACTCGATGTAAGTTCCTTAACAGCAAACCACATTCATGTTCTTCCTTCCCGTTCGGGAGATTTGAGAACTTTAATGGTGAGATAGGCAGCATCACGGATACTTTTCAGCTTAACAAACCAAAGAAATGGTGGGAGTGAGGTGAATGATAGAGCTGCCATGCTCCCAGATGTCAATGCAGACGTAAGGATTGTAATCGTATCGCTGCTCAAGAAATGAGTAGTAACAGTACTTATAGAACAACAGTAGCAATCGCAATTCGAAAAATCATCATGACAACTGGCAACAAAATACGAGTCACAATTAAACCGTTGGGATCAAGCATCCTGCTCCAGTGTGAGGACGAGCAAAGTGACTTCCAGGAGGAGCCAGCTTATGCTTTGCTCTGTGTGTGTGTGTGTGTGTGTGCGCGCGCGCGCCCTATGTAGTCCTTTTGCGTACTGGGGCCTGCAAAGAGATCTGCGCCTGAACCCTCAGTGGTGGACCTCGATTTTGGAGCGTCCCCGTTTGTGTCTTGGACGCGCTTACGGTCCTTCGGGATTTGGAAATGCAAGAGCGATAGCAACAGTAAAGGCACCAGCCAGTCCAGCATGGCAGAGTTAAGAGTTTAAGGTTCAGGGTTGCGGGCTATCCTGTCCGCTTTCTTGGCAGGACTGCCCCAGCGATGCCATTGATGTCACTGGTGGTGGCCGCATGCTTGGTGCGCACTCGATATCGGAGCGTCCGAACAGAGTGGTACCTGTTCCAGGTCCTTTGGTTTCCTGGAACAAGTGGGGCCTAAGGGACCTCATTCATATTTGGGTGGGGGTACTTACAAAGGGAAATATGGGCCTCCATTCATGGTATCTCTTCAGCCATCTGATCAGCGGAGATAACCCTAGGGTCTGACATGCCAGTGAGGAGTCAATCCAGACCTCAGCGCATACAATCCATCTCTCTTTACAATTCTGTCCGGAAATCTGCTAGCCAAAAGTCCTGGGACTGTCCCCATCTAGAGTGCATGGACAGTCTTCGGTTAAACCGAACACAAGATTCTTGGGTTTGGTTTGGTTTGAATGCTGCTTGGGACACGTTCCCCCTCCCTGTTGCCCCTGGCAAAACAATGCCATGCGGCAAATAATCTCATGCTGCGAGAGGGTGGGCAGAAGAGAGAGTGATGATTTTTACAACAGCTGCCAGGTGTTGCGCTTTGCTTTCAAGCATTGAGGGTGGTGTAGTAGGCTTGCCAGATTGAGGTGCAAGGAGTCTGAATTGTAAGCTCGCTCTTCTGGATTGCAAAATCACCTGTGAGGGAAAACGCTAGGGACCAAGTATTCCAGACCCCCACAAGTGTCTGGATTGCCTGCGCTGGGGCAGTACCCCCTGCAGCTGACGGTATTGAGGTGTTCCATGGGGTAACTTGGAGAACCGCCCACAGAATGAGCTTTGCTGCCACGAGTTGTGGTATTGCTCAGGCCTCCGTTGTGGCTTTGTGTTTCCAATAGAGTGCTGCTATGTGGGCAGCTAGCCAGAGAGCATATTTTATTCCCAATCAAAAACGTCGCAGAAATTGAGCGATGACTATTGAGATGGATGCCAATCTTGAGCCATACAAATGCAAAGGCAAATACAAATGCACACACCAAGGCTCGAGTCCGCAACTGCTTATCAGCAGAGCTGCAGAACTGCAGACGTGCGAACGGAAATCCCTGAGCTGTAGGGCTCAAACGGAAATCCTGTCATTGCAATTTCCATGCTCCTTACCTTCCTCCAGCCCTTCCTCCTGAGGTTCCTGCGGCAGTGACCAGGTTCCGCCCTCAGCCAACCCTTTGCAAACTCGGGGCTTTGATGCCATAAATCCTGTTGGAGTATCTTGATGCAGTGGTACTTTTGGAGATTTCTCGCAGAGGGTACTATTTTTTGGGAGTGGTCTGTCGGATCAGATATCATGAAGAACCTTTCTGCACGCGGTTTTGGGCATTCCACATCAGTATTGGCAGAATATTTTGATTCTGAAGGCGTAGTGAGTGCTGTTTGGGCCTTCACATTTTGAAAGTCGGACAGCAAGTAGGTAGTGCCGAAGAGTCCCTACCCACACCCTGACTGCTGTAACCAACAATAATTGCCCGAGCTCCTCTTTCCCACGGCCGTCGTTCTTTGTTTGAAGGTATTTTTGGAGTGACGTCGAAGTATGCAAAAACGTACCTGATTGGGCACCTAGGGCTCAACTATGACACGTCTATTCATCCCTGACGTCCACTGCGCCCGAGTCTGGCTTAAGCTGGCGTTTTGTCAGATGCGGGGTAAGTTTCCCCCATCCTTACCCTAAAACCCTCAAACCCTACAACCCTAAAACCTTAAAACCCTAAACCCTAAACCTTAAACCCTAAACCCTAAATAGGCAAGGGGGGGTCCTAACTCCCTTACCCTACATTGACGGAGCATGGCACGCGTCTGAGGACCTAGATCGGGCTACCAAAGCTGGAGCCTGGTCAAACTGGCCTGCTTGGAGAACTTTGTGGGACCCTGGGCCCTGGGTTACTGGGTTGCTGTTAAGGAACTTAGATTAAGTTACCATAATGGGTATATATATATATAGTAAATAATTAGGTTTCCCCAATATAGTAACTTAATCTAAGTTCCTTAACAGCAACCCAGGTTATTGATGGGTTAGGTGGGTTAGGTGGGTTAGGTAACCTACTTACAAAGGGGGACAGTGTCGCATTTATGATTGACTCATTTAGGAAGTATAATATATTACCTGCTGCAAGGTCCTTCAAACAAGGGCCCAAGATGCCAGGCTCCGATGATTTTTTGCTCAGAGGTGCTTCCGAAGCCTTGAATTGCATCCGCTCGTCATAGATGTTTACGGAGTTACAATTACTTTCAAACCCGCATGTTTCTGCCTCCCCGTTCCTGAGGGAGCAGCTTTATACATCCTGGTCCTAGTCTCTCAAAGCAACTAGATCCCTAGACTATACCCCTATATTATACCCTTACATAACACCCAATAAATAGCTCTGTTTGAAAAGCAGTTACCTCTTGCGGTACCGCTTGCGTGGCGCCAGGTCACGGGTCGCCGTTGCCATGATCAACTTTGTTGGGCCTTGCACTCAGTGCTAGGGGTTAGGGATTTACTGGGCTGCTGTTAAGGAACTTGCTTTAAGTTACAATACTGGGTACATATATATATATAGAGTAAATAACTGGGTTTCCGCAATACAATAATTTTAAATCAGGTTCCTTAACAGCAACCCACTTTAGGGTTTTAGGTTTTTCAGGGCTTAGGGTCTATTAACAGGTTTGTGGCCTCACCTCCAACCGCTGACATTGCTGGGGCGCAAAGTTGACGTGAAGCTAACGCATCAAAACGGTCGCGGTGTTGCAACAGTTGAGGCGATGCTGCAAGCTCATTTTCTAAATTAATTAGGTACGTGCAGAAATCAGGGCCCTTGGAACCCCCTTAGGGCCTGTTCGGGGGGCCTGGGAACGTAAAGGTTTCTGAATCTGGGCCTTCCGCTCCTGAGCTTGTTAAGGGTCCCAGGTTCCTTGACTCATGAAACTACCAAATGCCTAACAAGGAGCGCGTTTGCCCTCAAATTCACAACGGGTGGCATACCCTCAGTTTCCGTCTGTTTTTTCCGTTTGCATTTCCAGGTGATCCTCCACTATTACGCAGTAGTACTTTTAAGTATTACATCCGGACAGTGTTTGGGACTCCAGCATGAGAGGAGCCATTCCTGCCTTGGGGAAAGACTTAGACTTACCTCTGGTTGGCAGTAAATTAAAGAATGGAAAAGAGCATGAAAGCTACTATATGATCGGGTAAGGAGTACTGAGAGGATCCATCTCTTGCTAACCAGAGGAAAGAAGTTTGCAAGCGTGCAAAATGCTCAAGAACCTTCTAATCACATAAGCCTGATTCATTGCACCAGGGTATTTGGCTGTATCCTAGACAGACCAAAATAAGGGTTACAAGGGACGATCGTTCCCAAATACTGGGTTGCTGTTAAGGAACTTAAATTAAGTTACTACATTGGGGAAACCTTATTATTTGCTATATGTACCCATTATGGTAACTTAATTTAAGTTCCTTAACAGCAACCCAGAATATTTGTGTGTTCGATCGTTGCCCGAGATGTCATCGCCCCATAGGCCCTGCCCGGCGCAGCTGGCGCATGGAAAAGCCTGCTGACCAACCATTCTGGTTTGTGTGAGTCCGTATTCAAGGACATCAACATGTGCAGGGAGAAAGTGTGATGAAGCATCACGCTCTTTGACAATTTCAATTGTACTTTGCCTCGGCAACCCTCGCTCTGGCTGGTCCTCAAGAACCGGTACTACCCCTCCTGGGTAATGTATAGGGATTATATTGGCATAATGGAAAATAGAATGGAAGCTACTATAATATTTGGCGGGATTAAATAGAGGTTCTATTGGGATAATGGGAAAGAAAATGGAAACTACTATAGAATACTGTGGTTTTATGTGGGGATAATGGAACAGAAAATGGAAACGGGTTTTACATGGGGATAATGGAAAAGAAAATGGAAACGACTATCCCCTAAACCCTAAACCCTGGTAATCCTCCGCCTTTGAAGGCCCGCCGTGGGTCGGCCCAACCTCGAAGAGCCAGATCTCCAGGTTTTACCACTTTTGACTCTCAGCTGCAGCGGGGTGTGCTTGGGGTTTAAAGGTTATACTGGGGTATAATCTTGGGATAATGGAAAAGAAAATGGAAACTACTATGATGGGTTATATCGGGTTTAATGTTTGGGGTTTGGGGTTAAGGGTTGGGGTTATATGGGGACAATGGAAAAGAAAATGGAAACTACTATAGTATTATAGGGTATATGGTAAGGTTCTCCTGATAAGATTCCCTGGTTCAAGAAGTTCTGGGGGCTAAGCTGGTGGAGTTCGATCAAGCGTCCAACTGATGCAACTTAGCTCAACAGTTCACTAGCAAACATGTGAAGTCATCTGTGTGCGCGAAGGAAGCAGTCGCTTCTGCATGCCCGTGTTCCGTTGGAGGCTCAGGGAACAGCCTTGCCAAGGAGAACGGACTGCTTTTACGTCTGAATTGTTTGGGGGATCCCCCAGTGCTATCAAACACCATGGCTGTTACTGCTCGTTTCAGTCATGTGTAATAAGCACGAGCAAATACTGGTCGGCATACATTATTCATGGGACTTGTACTACTGCCGTTGGCAGCGGAGGCTACAAGAACAAGAAAGGAGCTCTCCACAGGATAGTGACCACAAGGGATACTGGTAGTTAATTAATGCTAGTTAAAGGCCCGCGTGTGGCGGTTTCCAAAGCAGGGGAGACCCCCATGGACCTCAGAAACTCGAAAAAAGGTGCTGATTTTTGACAACCCTCATATTCCTATATGCTAGCTGATTATAACTCTAGACCCTAAACCCACTCTTAGCCACCATAGCCACCGATAAGGTCGCTTCTCGCTGCGGGCAACCACGGGCCTTTCTGGGCGAGGCTGGCAGCAAAACTCCCTCAACGAGGTGTAAGGATTAGGGTTTTAGGGTTTAGGTCAAAACGGGGGCCCCTTGCGCCTTGAGGACTGTGGGACATGTAGCAAATGCCCAGGGATTGTGGGGGCGCACCTTCGGGAATCAGTAGGACAATGCGTGCATTGCACTCAGAATGTGTGCGAAGTTGTTAAGTTTGGATCTGCAATACTATTGGGATAATGGAAAAGAGAATGGAAACGACCATAATGGGTTATATAGGGTTTAATGTTTAAGGTTTAGGGTTGGGGTTATATTGGGATAATGGTGGTCTCCATACAACAACGATCAGTAGTAGCTTGAAAGGTTCATCCCAAGTCGTACAGAATCCTGGCGGATGAAAAGGGATTGCCCACCTATGACTTTTACATTGTACATATTGACAGCAATATAGTCCCCCTTAAGTAGATAGATTATGGGGTATATGGGGATCTTACCATAATATACCCAAAGCCATATTGTAACTACTTAACGGGGGACTATATCATACCCCAGTGGCATCCGAAGCTCGAGCTTGTTGAGGATCTTGTGCTAGGCCCGCAGCAGGGAAAGAAGAGGTACACAACACACACAGTCTTCTGGTTGTCTCGGGATAGCTTCCAGATAGTATAATAAGGTATTTATTGGGGGTTATATAGGGATAATGATCCTAAACCCAACATCTGCAAACCCCGTAAATCCCTAAATCCCAAACCCTAAAGCACCAAAACACTCCAGCCTCCCTAAGACCTCCCTAAGGCCTCCCTAAGGCTCCCTAAGGCTCCCTAAGGTCCAAAAGGTCTCCTAGTATGGGGCCCCCTTACATGGGTAGTAGGGAATCAGGGAATATAATCCCTTATCCCCTACTAAGAACCAGCAAGCAGAGCCCTTCACTGCAAGACTGAAGCTGACAGGTCTGTGCTGGAGAAGTTAGTCGGCCTCCTGGGCTTGCCACGGGTTTAAAGTAGGTGGCTGTCATGTGAACTATAGTCTAAACTTCTTAAGGGGGGTTACCTAAACGAGGATATAGGGGAGTACCATTGGGGTTATTAAGAAGGGAGATACTAGGAGCTTAGACTATGGCTCATGTAGATTGAGAACTGCCCCCTTCCTTTGACAACCACCAAATGATTCTTGTACTTGTAGCACTTTTGTCTTTCACTGACATGTGTAGACCTTCCCGAGATTCTACCCGGGGCTCACAACTTGGCGCCTCCTGATAACCAGGGCTTTTTCAGAGCGCAAAAGGTGACCTATATTTGGAGAGAGACCCAAAGAAACACTCTAAAGATGCTGAGGATCTAGGTCTCGTGACTAATCAAAGTTCAGCGACAAATACAAAGGCCAAGAGTTGCTCTGGGTTTTAGGGGAGGGCTATGCCATGAATCTAGATGGGCAGCAAGCTTCTTCTTGGTGATTCTCCAGGGCGTACAGGCAGTTAGTCAAGGGACGGGCCTCCAGCCCAGGTATGGGTCAGGTGTTGAACCATCATCCATGCCGCTTGCGCAAGAAATCGGCGGAGACTGGCGCAACATTCAATTTTTCTTGCTGCTGCTGCGGTGCTCCATAGAAGCGGCGGCCATCGAGCTAGAATGCTGAGAAGCATTTCTGCAAACGGTACGCGTGGGGTTCATGCTACCGCAAACAGGGATGCGTGGTCAAACTGACACTAACATGGAGGAACCTGTTGCGGATCTTCTGTTGGCAAGGACCATAAAATCTATAGTCTCAACTCCCTAAAGGCGGTTATGTTGGGGATTGTATCGGCGACTACTATAGGGGATAGTAAGGGGGATACCAAGAGTTTAGACTATAGCTCATAGGATCCGTTCAGTAGATGCGTGGATTCGATTGAGGTCGTGGCGCGCGGAATCGTTGCAGTTGATTGTCACTGCCATGACTGATGCTGGAAACGATCGCCATAATTATGATGCAAGCAGAAAGCCTCCACCGGTGTTGCCCACCATAGGAAAAGGAATTGATTATGATCATGATGCTAGAAGCTGTGATGCCAATGGTGATGATAGAGTTGTTGTAGCGGACTTCAATGGGATTAGTTTGCTTGTGCGAGCACGCATACACTTGGAATCAACACTGACATCACTTACCATCACCTGCGCTCAAGGGGTAGTGCGCCTTCATCAGTCCTGAACCCGAAAATTTATAACTGCAAAGATCAACATACTCTGGTAGTTTCCATTTTCTTTTCCATTATCCCTATATAACCCCAATATACTATAGTAGATTCCATTTTCTTTTTCATCATACCCTAATTATGAAGCCCCTGCACCCAAAACGATGCCTATTCTTGAAATCTGCTCAGGTCTCTGTCCTCACGGGTCCTGTCACATCAGGGGCACCCTTGACAGTGGCAGCCACAGGAGTGGTAGCTGTCCTGCTCATACGAATGTCAGGGTATTTCAATCCCAGGCTATGAGGATTACAATATTTTTAGCGTACATATGGGCTCAGCTGTTTTGGGAAGTACTGTCGAGCCCCAGTCCTGCATATATTCGGGCTGGACATACTGGTGTGCGGACCCATGGTGATGGCGTGGTAGTGCTTTGATCGTCGTAGTCGGATTTTTTTCTTGGACAGGGATGTCCATGCTATCGGGCTTTCCCAGCTGTGCGATGAGGATCGCTTTACTTTTGAGAGCTAAATTCCTGCGGTCCTCTGGTCAACACTCTCTTTCTTTGAGCCGTTGCCCGCCGCCTGTCCTGACCTTGCCTGGGCCCACCGAAGTTGTTTCTTGCTTTTTCTTGCCCGGGTTGGCATGTTGTTTGGGGACCCCAAAAAAGGACGGACGTTGACAGCATCCCTTGTCCATTACACAGTCCTATAATCGCCTAACTAACCGCAGTTTCGAAGTTCATTTTCCATTTTCTTGTCCATTTGGTTCTCCATAGTTATGACTGTAGCTTACATGGCAAGGAACCCCCAAACCCTAAACCATGAATGCCTTGGCCTTTCCTTGGCTGGGCACGGCTGAAGGTTGTTCGAGAAGCTGTCTCGATCGTGTCTAAGTTCTTCCTGCAGAACCTGCAGACGCTACAGAGGTGGGGGAAAATTAGATGAAGTTGAGTTTTAACTTATTGGTTCTTAGTAGGGAATATTGGAATATATTGAGGTCATATAGGGATAGCGGACAAGAAAATGTAAGCTATTACACTATAGTAGGATACATACATATATACATATGTACATACATATATATTCGGGTTATAGTCTGGTCTCTTGAAGCGATCTTTTGCAGGCAAAGGGGTTAGCTAGACCAAGATCCATCAGCCATAAACTTAAACCCTGAACACTTAACTAGGCATAACTAGGTCCAACTACCGTCAGAGGGCGGCATGTACAGGATGTTGTAGAAAGGCATGGACGGGAGGTGAGGAATTGGAGCTGGGTGATGACCATGTGAGCTACAGACTAAACTCCTAATATCTGCCTAAACAACCCTTATAACAGTCCCCTATGTAATCCCCTATACAACCCTTTTACGGAGTTTAGATTGTAGCTCATGTGTTAGAAGGGGCCGTGAGTGTCTCAAGGCACGAAAGCTTCGGGCAACTGTGGCTTGTGCCTCAGCGCTCCGAGCTGACGACGGCTAGCCTTCTTCTTACTAGTAGGGAATCTGAGAATATACTTTATAGGCATTATATATATATATGGGTTATACAGGGATCATATTCCATTATTCCCTACTTAGACTCAGTAAGTCCTTCGCTATGGCTGCCAATCTCGCAAACTCAAGATGGTGAATATGTCCTCTTAGCAGCAGTACATGCATCTGAGAAACCCTTGCATAGCTGCTGTGGCATGGCCATGGCATACCTTCCAAAACTCTAAACCTTAATCAACTATAGTGGTTTCCATTTTCTTTTCCATTAACCCCATATAAACCCCAATATACTATAGTAGTTTCCATTTTATTTTCCATTATCCCTAAACAACCAAGTCAACTCATCGTCAAATCTAACTTTGGCCTTAGATATTAAACCGACAGCGACGTGGACCACTGCGCCCCCAAGGCTTATGGTGCTGAGACTCATGCTCCAGTTTATAAAGCGCGGTTCAGACGACCGCGATGCGGAGTTGGAGGCGGGTTTCTGCGGCCAAGGGCAGATTTGAGTCGTTTCCATAAATAGAGGAGCCGGGCCGGGCCCCAGTATAGACTAGAATAGATACGGGACTCCCAAAATGGGCTCCTGTTTCTCTGAACCCCCAAAGTGGGATCGTGTCAGAATGAGCCGCACAGAATGCGCCCATCGTGCTTCGAATTTCCGTAGACGTTCTTGGAATGCCAACCCCAATATGGTGTTTTTTTTTAATAGGGGGACCCCAGTACAGACCCCCAAATATTAAAATCCTAATTACGGGGATCCCCACAATGGTACCCCTAATTTTGGGAACCCCCCCCATATTGGCGGTGGGTCTGGCCGTGCGTAGCCTGCCCAGATATAGAACATCTTGCGTCAGATTGTAGACATGTTTTTTGATAAAAGTTGGTTTCCGTCAGAAGAAGCTGCGCAAGCTTGTCCATCTTTGCTTCAACGTTGTCAGGAGGTCTCTACCGAGACCCTGAAGAATCTTCTGGGTGTTCTTGCCTGCACCTTACACGAAGCAGCATTACTATATGTCGCAAGAGTGTTTGTCAGAGCATTGGCACAACCCTGCGTATCCACTGCCTACAGCTGAGGTCAGCACGCAAGTCCTCGGCTTCGTTTCGCCTAAGGCACCTGATAGCCATATGTTGACATGCGATGCCCGAAAGACTGAGAAGAGGAAGGTTTGCTAGCAAAGATCTGCTTAGATTAGATATCTCAAAACTTGGTGCGCTGCTATTACACGAGCAAAAGGAGGAAGATTCCCCAATTCTCGGAAGCTGGAAGCAGGGCTTTCCGAGCTTCAGGCGGCGCAGCCCGAGGACAAGGCTTCCAGGCCAGTATGGTGGCAGAGCCCTCAGTGTCCTCCAGATGCCCTCATTCCTTACTGGCTGCTAATACTATATTCTTGGAAGTTATAATTATGGTGTTGGGGGTTCTGTAATATGTTATTGGAGGTTCTAAAATGTATTATTGGGAGTTAGAAAGGGCCGACTTTAGGGATCCATTCCTAAGAACCAGTAAGCTTCTGGCCCCTCCCTTTTCCTGCAGGCCACCCAGCCTTAGCCTGCAAGATGATACGTAGCGTTTAGAAGCCTACAGTCCCCCTTAAGTAGATAGGATATAGAGCATATGGGGATCTTATTATAAGATACCCAAAGCCATGTTATCTCTACTTAAGGGGGACTAGAGCCCAGCAGTATGTCCATGAGTGGGTCATGACATGATGGACGTGATCTTCGGGGCAACCCTAAACCCTAAACCCTATAGAATCCCCTATATAACCCCCCTTTCAGAAGTGGCATCGTCCGATAGTAGTTTTCTTAATTCAGGGGAACCCAACATAGACCCCGAAGCTTGGGAAACCACCAGATGCCAACCAGCAAAATTAGACGACATGGGATGTGAGAATTTGGAAGAAGCACAGCAGAGTAGCGAAGGCACTAGCTGCAGCAAGCAAGAATGGAGAAGACAATTGAAACTACTACAATGGGTTATATAGGGTTTAGGGTTGGGGTTGTATTGGGATAATTGAAAAGAAAACGGAAACTACTAGAGTGTAATCCTACTTGCCGGGTCACACCCTGTTCCATCATTACTATTGCTACAGGTACATACTCTGATTATCATTGGTATTGCTATTTTTGAATTATTACTACTATTGTTACAAACCGCTTCTTATTGGGAAGCCTTCATCAGGCAGATGACCTGGGATTGCATCGAGGCGGGGAGACTGACAAGCCCCTGCAGGATTCAGAGCCCCGCCTACAGGGGCTCATGAGGGAACATATGGGCATATATATATATATATGGGCGTATAGGGGTATATACGGCTATATGAGGGTATACAAGGGCATATAGAATTTTATCGGGTTTTGGGGGGTATGTAGGGTTTAAGAAGAAGTCAAAGCTTCGCCAATCTAATGTGAGGCAGGGGAAAATTCATTGGTGCCCGCATTGGGGGTCCATAGGTACAAAGGCCTTCTCAACAGTTGGTTCCATTGCATAGCCGTCCATGCACGGACGACCCATAACCTGCAACACCAGTCAAAGATGAAAGAGACGCATCAATGTCAATGAGCTTAGGCTGCACCAGGTGTGGTATCGAAGCCATCACTGCCTCTGAATGCGCCGCAGGTTAGGTTAGTTTTCATGGGGGCTTCGTGCAAGGATTGAGACTGGTAGTTGGCATCACCTAGCATGTTTTGGTGCACAAAGGCACCAGGGTGTCACGGCAAGAGTGCAGCCGCATGTTGTGATGCTGCGCCCCTCGGGGGTTGCAGGTACTGCGTTCGGGGAAACCCGGCAACAATGACATGTCAAGAGGAATTTGATGAATGCAGGTATGAAGCATATCTGACAAACAAAAATATTGTGAACATGTTTATTTCCTGCACTGCTAATGAACACATTGTTGGCACTAAACCGCGCTAATTTGCATTAATAGCCCCTTGCCATGCTGACAGCAAGCCCCCATGAGAGAGAACTTAAGCGCCGCAGGTGTTCATCCCTGGCTTTGGTGAGGACTTCAGCAGGCCTGGTGTGGATTTGGCAATGTGGGCTGTCGCCTGGACTTCCGAGGGTCCATAGAAATTCAGCAAGGGCCATTGATCCGGTGTGGTTTTGCGAGGCGCCACTTCTCTGGAGTGTGCCGCATGTAGAGCCACCCGGTCATACTAGGCGCTAAGAGGGCGAAAGAATGCCGGCAGGCTTCAGCTTGTCGCTGTATCTCTTCAGTCTCTTCATCAATTTTACTTGCAAAGTCCCTTGCGAGGTCGGTGCTGGGCAACGGCACCGTGCCCGAAGAGGCAGCCAGCAGTCTGGGCAGTCCCCGTGCTGAAACGACCACAGACTGTACTGGATTCACGTGTATGTGGACATGTGCAAGGCAGCACGCTCCTACCGTTGTTGCAGAACATAACTCAAGTTCATAGGGTGAGTGTGCGGCCAACCATGAAGCAACAGCATCATGAACATTTGAAGGGCTATGCGCCTTCGGCGCTCTTGATGAATTTCAGGATTCATGTCTAAACGTCGCCCAGCTACGCAATAATGTTCACGCGCCACGAATCTATCTTGCAAGCATTACAAGGCTCTGCTGCACCAGCAGCCTCCAGCCATGTGCCGATCAAAGGAAGCTTGGGAACACTTCATCTTCGTGCCGTGCTTGCCAAAGTCTCGCGTCACCAGGGCAGCCAAGAGAAGACTCTTGGATGCTTTCAGATTTCTGCTGGCCGGACTAAGGGTGCTCGATTCTAGTTTTGAAGTTGTTTTAATTGCTGACCAAGACTGGTTCCTGCAGTGCAACACCGTCTCCTGCCGCTCAAGCGTACAAAGCGTGCAGAAGCCGTCTTCGTCCTCGTACAGCTTCGAGGATGCTGCCCTGGCCGTGGGGCTCACAGCCGGCCTCGGCGCAGCAGCTGCAAGCACCGCCTTGGCTCCTTTGGCTCCAGGCGCTGCGCTCCTAAAGGTAGCCATGATGGTCCCTACACCACCGCCACCCTCCCTGGCGCCGCCTGCACCTCCTTTAGCAGCGGCCACACAGGGCCGAACGAATGCCCTGCTCCCGGAGCAGCCTCGACCGACACCGCAGTTCAGCCTTCTAGACACCTTGCTCCCGAACTTCAATACTGACACCTTCATTTGGCGGGTCTCGATGCTGCAGATCACCGAGTACATCGGCTCCCTCCTTTTGGGAAGCGCCTATGGCTCTCCTAAGCTTTGCTCCTTGTATCTCCTGGGCGCCTCCTGGGGCCCGGCCATTGCGCAGGGGGCCGTTTGGCGGTTGATGCTTCCCATGATGCTGCATGCAAATGCGCTGCACATCTTCTTCAACCTCTTCTTTCAGATGCGAATCGGCTTCGGCATGGAGAAGCAGTTTGGGCGTCGGAAGTTCTGCCTCCTCTACATGTTCTGTGGCTTCCTGGGCAACCTGATCTCAGTAGCAGTGGACCCTATGAAGTTGGCAGTCGGAGCATCCACCAGTGGCTTCGGGCTCCTGGGAGTTTGGGCTGCAGAAGTGCTCCTGACTTGGGACCTGCTGGGTGAGAGCCGCTCCAGAGTCTTCCTATGGTTTGCCTTCATGGTCATCAGCTGCATCATGATGTCCACCATCTCTCCCAACGTAGATTTCGTGGGCCACTTCGCCGGAATGCTTGCAGGATTCCTGCTGGCCATCATCCTTGCAGACATGCAGGAGGAGCACCAGCCCCCATGGTATGATAAGGCCAAGCTAACAGCCAAGAACATCACGGCCCTCATTGTCATTGCTTCCCTTGTGCGAGCTATCACCTTGGGCCCTGACGGGCCCATCCCCTACTGTGGGACCATCTTTCATCCTCGTCGCCTGCCCTTCTGAGTTGTGGCCAAAGCTAGGAGCACTGAGGAAGGGAAGCCTAGAATGGTATCATCGATGTCACCTGTCCCTCTGACACCGCCACAAGTTACATAATCCAAGAAAATGATCGGCAGTAACATGCGGTACATGATGGCCAAGGAATGGCCCCAGTGTTCTTAAACGTCCAATCATCCTCAATTGGTTGCTTGTGCGTGGATTCGTGGTTGTTTGCGACCAGTGGCAGTGTCTACGGAAGACGTCTCGTAACGAAATGTGAAGAGAATCCAGAACTCACTGCGCACTTTCCGCTCATCGGGGTGCGTTCGTGGTGCTCGCAGACCCGGTGCAAAAGAAAGGTCGGCTGCAGGTCGTTGGCTCCCAACTTCCTTGCCACAACTGTTGCAAGTGCTCTCTAGCTGCAACAGCGAAGTTGCCACATGGGTGCCCACATGTGTGTTTCATCTACTTGTCCACCAAAGCCCTGTCGGCTCAAGGCCCAAAGTGCAAGGGGCAGCCTGTGAGGTACAATTAGAGGTTTCCCAATATTAGCGGGTACCCTTTTGGGGGTCCCCATAATAAGGATCATAGTATTTGGGGGTCTATATTGGGGTCCCCCCCTATTTTGGGAAACTACCAATTAGAAGGGGATTTAGAATCTGCAGTGCTCCCCGAGCTGCAGCCCGTTCACTAGTTCGCCGCGGCCTCTTTCCAAAATGAGTGGATTAGAAGTACGGGCGCTGCAAGCCTGAAGCAGCTTCAAACGTCTGACTTACTTCAGATTCTTTAGAGATGAGAACTGGGAGCCTTCTGCTTTTTTGCCTCCAGCCTGATGAGAGACATGGAGGGCGATGCCAGGCGCCTGGCTGCAGGCCGGACATGTGCACAGAAGTGTCATATAGTATAATACAATATAATATAGTATAATATATTATGATATAATATATTATACTAATATAGCATAATATAACATAATATAATGTAATGTAGTACAATATAGTGCACTACAATATTCGGATTGTTTTTTATCTCTTCTCCTTCCAGATTGCCTACATCATTCTTCTGCCAAGAGAGTAATGATCAAACATTCCCATATTCTGTTTTGGCGCTACCTTTTAAACTGCGCGATTCGAGCCTTAGTCTTAGCCTCGGGTGGATGTCCATGGCCATGCGAATGCCGTTGATTATGGCTGATATTGGCAGGCCCATTGTTGCGTGGCGCCGCGTTGGTAGCCACTGCCGAGACTGAGTTTGCTGTTAAGGAACTTAATTTGAGTTACTATATTGGGGAAACCTTATTATTGACTATATACCCATCATGGTGACCCTAAACCCTCTACACCCTTATTATGGTCTCCTAACAAACCATTACAGTAACTTAATTTACGCTCCTTGACAGGAACCCAGGAGATGCTCCGAGATCCGCGATGCAGCTGCCGCATTGGAACCGTTCTGCCTCGCTTTCGGCCACTTGCACCCAAAAGGCTATTACATACATTATATTGTATTGTAGTACACTATTTAATACAACATTACATTAGATTATACCCTATTTTATTGTATTATACTATACTATATTAAACTACTATACTATACAAATATCTCTATCTCTAGCTGAGGTTGCCTCAGCGGGACCTCAGCTGGACCTTCGGAATGGCAGCATCTGTGGGATCAAGAGGTGCATGACTTGGCGTGAGCGGGTGCTGGCGACTCGCTACTCACTATCGCTCCCCATAGTGATGCCTACAACCATTCCCAAGACGCAGCCCAAACCAAAAGTACTACAGGAGTTTCCATGTTCTTTTCCATTGTCCCTAAATATACTCCCTATCTTGTAATAGTTTCCATTTTCTTTTCCATTCTCCCAATATAACCCCAATATAACCCCAATATATCCCCTATATAGTTGAGAAATTCCGGAGTTCTC